TTTGCTTTTTATTATTTATTTATTTATTTATTTTATTTTTATTTTTTATTTTTATTATACTTTAAGTTCTAGGGTACATGTGCACAACGTGCAGGAAGAACTTTCTAACTTCTTTTCTTTCTCTCTCTCTGTCTCTCTCTCTCTTTTTTTTTTTTAAGATGGTGTCTCACTCTGTCACCCAGGTCGGAGGGCAGTGGCGTGATCTCGGCTTACTGCAACTTGTTTCTCTTTTTGTTATTAGGTTGTTGCAAAAGCATTCAAAGCAATGGCAAAAACAGCAATTACTTTTGCAACAACCTATTACCTAGGCTAGAGTCAGAGCCCCGCACCTTGAGAGTGATGAGTTGCGAGAGTCTGCCCCCAGCAGGCAGATTGAGAGAGCGCATGGTTTAGCGGAATGATTATTTTAGCTATAGTCCATGGGACAGAATGGAGATGTTGCAATCTGATGCAGATCATCTGAAAGTCTTGTGCAATATCCTGATTAAGTGTGGACAGAGCACAATAAAAAAGGAATTTGGAAGTTGGAAACATGCTGGGTTCAGGCAGACATAAAAGGCAGCATCTGGAAAACCTATCAGGACTCAATTTCAGGGCAAGTGATCATAGGTAAGTGGGATCATGGAACTTGACCTCAAGATTACAATATAGGAACAATAAATAGGTTATGAAGATAGTGAGCAGGTAAACAGCACCACCAAGGAATCTCAGTAATAGATTTGTAACAAAGGAGCAGAGCAGAACTCTTTATGAGAGCTAGATGGTCATAAGGAGAGGGTTGGCACAGCAGTGGTTCATGCAGAATCTCCTGAGATGCAGATAAACCTTTTCTGATTGGGAGAAGGTTAATCCAAAACTTGAGGTGGAGATGTAGTCACAGGAAAGTAGCAAGAGTATATGGGGGAGCTGAGACATGAAGAGGCATTTCCTAGAAGGGAAAATCAGGCTTTAAAGTCAGGCAGATGAGTTTGCCTGGGAAACAATCAAGAGAGCTGAGTCTGAGGCAGGGAGCTGGTGGGGAGTGAGCCGAAGTGTGTCAGGTAAGGCAGAGAACCAAAACCAGATATCAGGTGGCAAGTCAAGAACAAGTAACGTAGAGTACGTGGATGGATCTGGGCAGGGCTGGGAAGACATACACTTGGCTCTATGTGCTTGGCTAGCTGAATGTTTTGCAGCTATATCTACAGGTGCTTTTATTATCATGCACCCGGCAAGGAATTTTATTATAAATAGCTTGGGTCCTAGGTTTTGGGACGGGAAGAAGCCTCTGCTCCTGGGAATAACTGTGATGTTACCATAACACATGGTGACTTGTCCCAGCAAATGGAGCAGGGACATGGATGAGGAAAGTCACAGAAAAGTATTGTGGCCAGGCGCGGTGGCTCACGCTTGTAATCCCAGCACTTTGGGAGGCCGAGGAGGGTGGATGACCTGTCAGGAGTTCAAGACGAGCCTGGCCAAAATGATGAAACTCTGTCTCTACTAAAAATACAAAAAATTAGCCAGGCATGGTGGCAGGCACCTATAATCCCAGCTACTCGGGAGGATGAGGCAGGAGAATCACTTGAATCACTTGAACCTGGGAAGCGGAGGTTGCAGTGAGACGAGATCCCACCACTGCACTCCAGTCTGGTGACAGAGTGAGACTCCGTCTAAAAAAAAAGAAAAAAAAAGAAAAGAAAAGTATTGCTAGGATTAGCATCCCTGATAGTTACCATTCCAGTTATTGCCAACTTGATAGACCCCTCAGAAAAACAGAAGTTTGCAGGAATTTTGCAGCCACAAGATGATGTTTAAAATATTCCTAGAAGATGTTTTCCACTTCACACGTTGGATATTTATCTCATACATTAATCAATATTGGTCAAGTATGGTGGCTCATGCCTGTAATCCCAACATTTTGGGAGGTCAAGGCAAGTGGATTTCTTGAGCCTACGAGTTTGATACCAGCCTGGGCAACATGGTGAAACCTTGTCTCTACAAAAAATACAAAAATTAGGCCAGGTGTGGTGGTCCACATCTATAGTTCTAGCTACTGGGAAGGCTGAGGTGGGAGGATCACTTGCGAACAGGAGATCGAGGCTGCAGTGAACCATGATGATGCCACTGCACTCC